CTGTGACTTTATATCGAGATAACCAGATGTGTTAGATGCTTTTCTGTTGCTCTGAGAAGACACCATGACTGAGACAACTTAAAGAAGAAAGAGTTTGTTTCCACCTGCATTCCGGAAGGTTAGAGTCCGGAATGCTTCAGTCAGCATGGCGGCAGGAACAAGGAGCTGGGAACTCACATCCTTTGCTATAAGCACAAAGCAGAGAGCAAGCTGGAAATGGCAAGAGAATCTGAGCTTTGAAAGCCCACCCCCACCGATGTACCTCCTCCAACAAGGCTGTGCCTCCTAAGCCTCCCCAGACAGCGCCACTCACTGGGAACCAAGTGCTGAAACAGGGGAGCCTGTGAGGCTACATAGTGAGTTCCAGACCAGACTAGGCTACCAGTATGCTGTCTGAATCCTCCTTCATTAGCTTTTATTTTTAATAAACCTACATATAGTTTAAAGATTGAGTGGATTTTTACAAAGCTGTACTGAAACTTCTGGCCACTTTCAACACTGTTAGTTGATATCATTCATAATTTTGTCCATATCTATTAGTTTTATTTTGGTTTCGAATGATGCCCACTAATTTCTCTCTATGGAAATGTTATGTCCTTCCAAGGTCTACCAGGGTGGATGTGCACTCTAATTGTGCTTAGGGTTAGCGTGAGATCTTGTCAGTGCAGTTACCCTTCAGCACCAGTGAGTCTGATCCTGCCCTGAATGCTCTTGTTTGGTAGGGTTTATTCTACTTTAATAATCGCATTAATTAAAAAAATGACATTTTTTTTTAAAGAAAATAAATTCACTGTTTCTTTAGATGCACGCACACATTTCCCTTGCGTGTTGAATTGACTTCCTTCTGGTGTCTAGGATTGCTTTCTTGTTTGAGTTCAAACCTCTGCCATTTCTTTTAGTGTTAAGTCTTAAACCTGTGACAATTGGCTGACATGCCTGTTAGCATAACGAAGCAGAAGGTGGCTACCAGGTTCTCCCAGCATCCCTCAGTCCTTACTTATAACGGGCAATGGCTGCCATGCCCCGCCCTGTACCTGAACTCTCCAGCGCAGGGGCTAGGCTGCCCTTCCCCCCAGCTGCTTTTCTCTATATAATCTAGCCATTTTGGTTATCCTGTTCTTTTGGCCCTTTACCTCTCGGCCAGTCTCTTGGCTCAGGCCACGCCTCTTGACGGGCAGCTCCTCCCACTCTCTCGTCACGTGGCCCAGCTCAGTCAGGCTATGTTCACTCTGGACTCTCCCAGCTGTCTCTGCCTTTGCCTGTGCTCTCCCTTGTATTTATAATAAAAAACTTCAGCCCCTTAGAAGGGCTGGTCCTTAGAAGGGCCCCTTAGAAGTCAGGTCCTTTTCTTTCTCTTTTTTTCTGTTCAGGGTGGAGGGCAGTTAGCTCACCTTTGAGTGAGAATCATTTTACTTGACACTTTCAGGGTACTTCTAAGAAATGGCTTTGCTGAGGATGCGAGTACAGCTGCTCTCAGCATATTGTAGATGCTGCTCTATTGTTTTTTTCTTTGGTTTCCTTGGTAGCTGGCTTACCTCTATTTGCTGTTTTTCTTCCGGTCAAGACTTCTGTGAGTTTCTACAGGTTCACTATGATATTAACATATATACATACATACATGCATACATACATATATACATACACATATACACACACATATACATCTTTGTGTATATACACATACATATATGTGTGTATAACATACATATATGTATATGTCACATACACACATATACATATACACACATATGCACATTGCACATACACATATATACATACATATGCACACACACACACATATATATATACACACACACACACACACACACACACACACACACCCTAGGAGTTTGTTAGAATTCCTTAACTTAAAGATTTGTGCTTTTCATTGGTTCTGGAAAGTTCTCCACCATCTTCTTTGTGAATATTGACCTTTGGCCTTCTGTCCTCTTCCCATAGAACTCTAGTTAGGGACAGGAGACATGGCTCGCAAGTTAAGAGAAATTGGTGCTCTTTCAGAGGACCTGACTTTGGTCCCCAGCACCTATGATAGGCAGCTTACAGCTACCTGTAACTCCCGCTCCAGGGGAGCCTATGTACTCTGCCAGCTTCCAGGGGTACTCACCCACCCACACATCCCCACATAAATAAAAAAAAATTTTTAAATGTGATTCCAGTTCAATATGTGTTCAGCTTCTTTTTCCTAATTTGCTAAACTTTTGTGTATAGTTTCTGTATTTTTACCTGGTTCTTAGCATTTTCTCTCTCTCTCTCTCCCTTTTTAAATTATGTGTATGTGCCTGTAAGTTCAGGTATCCGTTAATATGCACATCTTCTTCAATGATTCTAGTACTAGAAATCTTATTCGTTCATGAATATTTGGGTTTTGGTTCATCAATGATTTTGTTGTTGTTGTTGTTTTACTGCAATGTGTTATTAGAAGTTTTTGTTTCTTTGTTTTTAATCAGTAAATGACAGGAATTTCTCTGAAAGTATGTTTATATAGAGAGTGTTTGCATGGCTTTGCCAGGTTCCCCAAGACACTATCAGGGCCACTCCTTGTCTCCCCATTATTCACTGATGTGTGAATACCAGATCACCTAAAGAATACTTTAGATTACCTTTTTAGATCATCTTTAGATCTTTAGATCACCTTTTAAAAGATTCAGTCTTGCCAGGTGGTGGTGGCGCAGCCTTTAACCCCAGCACTTGGGAGGCAGAGGTAGGTGGATTTCTGAGTTCGAGGCCAGCCTGGTCTACAGAGTGAGTTCCAGGACAGCCAGGACTACACAGAGAAACCCTGTCTCAAAAAACCAAAAAAAAAAAAAAAAGATTCAGTCTTTTTTAGTGTATCCACAAGGCTCCTGAATTTCCAGGGCTCCTGAATCATACAGGGAATGTGAATCTGTGCTACTTTGGTTCTGTGGTTACAGACTTGACAGGTGAGGTTGCTTTTAGCTTTCGTCTTAAACCCAGATTGGCTGGCCAGACTTCCTCGCCATCCCTCTGTGAGTTAGTTTGGGCCTCAGAGGATTTGATTCTTTCCCAGTGCACCAGCTCAGAAGTACATTTAGGATTTTTTTTTTTTACATCTATTTTATTCAGGATTTTTAGCTGTTGATCATGGCAGGATTATCGAGGACACCGCAGGAGACTATTGTCAACCTTGTAGTTTTATTTATAGCATGCATTTTTCCATTCTTACATCTTTAGTCTGCCCTCGGGGAGATGGCATGGTTGCCTGTGAGCATTGCTCCCTGCCTGTGGCCTCTCTTCCTTCAGTGAAGTTCCTTCATCTGACAGGGATCTGGGATTTCCACCCCTGTCCTATGAAGAAGGGGCCATCAGTGCCTTCTCCCAGGCCAGACACACTTCCCAGTGGCTAGGCCTCCTCTGCCTTTTTTATAAGGCTTTAATGGAGCTAAGTTTATTATCTTCCTTTTGTTCCTGGCTTCCTAGCCTTGGGGCATCCCTCTGCTTTTCTGCAACTCCTCCCCTCCCCCATTTCCTTTGAGAGTAATTTTTCTTATTGTGTCCAATTAACCAAAAGGGTAGAGAAAGCGTCCTTACACTTCTGTGCTTCTTCAATCCTTTCTGGGAAAGCCATGTAGCCCTCTCTGTAGCAGAGCAGGAAGAATAAGGCAAGCATCCCCCCGTGGGTTGCTGCATTCAGAACCTTAGAGACTTTGTGGTCAACTCTGGCAGCACTCCTCCCACATCCAGCTTGAAGCACATGTCAGGCAGGCTGCGCCCTAAGAGGAGCTCAGATGCCCTAGTGATTTCCCCCGCCTCTCCAGGAAGGCTCTGCAAATTATCACCTCCAGGAAAGAGAATCAAGACATGAAAACAGTAATTCTCAAGGGACTGGGAGAGGAAATAACTCCCTTAGGAAGTTCTCAGAACCTCAGAGGGCAGTTTGTGTAATCACCACCCAACCCACTTCAAATAACCCAGTCGCTGGCCACTACAGTATAGCTAGCCAATGCGGTGTGGTGAGGTAACTGCAGCCACACCCACCCGTGGTTATTGAACCCTTAAAACATGGCAAGTAGGGGCTGGAGGGATGGCTGAGTGGTTAACAGCACTGGCTACTTTTCCAGATGACCTAAGTTTGATTCCCTGCACCTACCTACCAGTGCCTTCTTCAGGCCTCACTCAAACATGAAAGTGATTCAGACATACACTCTGGCAAAACACCCACATACATAAAGGAGTGGGGCACAGTACGATATTAACTGGACTTAAGGTTCAAAACAAAAATATAATTACTATCATGATACTTCTTATATCAAGTTTATATTGAAATGATATTTTGAATTTGTTGAATAAAATAACATTTCATTTTATTATATATTTAAAGTGGCTACAAAGTTGGTTTTATGGTTTTGCTCACTTTATCTTCTGGGCAAATAGTAATCTAAGATAACTTGTTCCTTTTGTGTGTGTTTGTTATATTTAGATGCAAATGATAGTTCTGCCCTCCTGCAGTCTCTGCTTATCAGATGGCTTGACAGTTTTTTCCCCAGGCATATAAAGATAGAAGTGACTTCATTCACTCCCCACTGAGAATTTTCCATGGTGCTACAGTCTCCAAACCCAAGTAAAGAGAAGTATTCTCAAATCAGAAAAATAAAATCAGGGTGAGGGGGCAGTTATTTAATTTTTCAGTGTGTGTGTGTGTATGTGTGTGTGTGTGTGTGTGCATATATGCAATGCATGTGTGTGCAGGTGCCCTCAGAGATCAGAAGAGGGCATCTGAATTCCTGGAGCTAGAGATGCAGGTGTTGTGAGCCACTCAGTGTGGGTCCTGGGCCAGACTCTAGTACTCTGTAGGAGGAAGGAGTGGTCCTTACTGAGGCCCCATCACCCTAACTCCTAAATGGAGTTTTTAAGCAATCAGTCAGCAATAAGCTCTGAGGGTCATTTCGGGGTGCTGAAGGTTTCTTCGGGTTTACTTTTCAAAAGCCATTGAGTTTTCAGTGATGCATTTGTTATTTCAGCCGCTGCAAGGAACCATTGGCCAGAAAGTAACAACACCGAACCCCACATAGGATATACCCGCTTTTATCAGAGTCAAGAGGACCATTCAGGTTCCAGAAAGGAAGTGATAGCTCACACTGCCAGAATGAGCCACAGTTCCTCAGAAACCTCAGAAAACCCCTCTCTCCTCCCTGAGACAAGCGCTGACTGGAGAAACATGTCTTCTGCACATGTCAGAGCTCTGCACCGAGAGCCCTCACCTGAGATCACCACAGCATGGACCGCCCACAGCAGCTTGTCATGTGAGTGTGTGTTTTGATGCTCATTCATGTATGACCAGTCCTAGAAAACAAATTCTGTGCCCCATTCTGACCCTAACCCCACATCCAGAGCAACTGTGTCCATTTAGAGGCTCTGCGTCGGGGTGCATTAGGTAAGTCCTCCTCAGAGCCCCTCTTGTAAAGGAAGGAGGATGCAGATTTGTGGAACATACTGGTTGGTCCTTTGGCATCTATGTTCCATGGCAGTCTAAATCCACACCCCCTTTCTCGAAGACCCTGCCACACAGGGGATGGGAATGAAGGCTTTGTGGTAATGGTGTTTGAGTGGTTGGTTCTTGCTGCTCCAGTCCGCACAGTCGCTAGCTTAGGACTTCAGTGAAGGACTTGCAATTCTTTTTCTTTTAAGGATTTATTTATTTATTTTATGTATATGAATACACTGTCACTGTCTTCAGACACACCAGAAGGGGGCATCTGATTCCACTACAGGTGGTTGTGAGCCACCATGTGGTTGCTGGGAATTGAACTCAGGACCTCTGGAAGAGCAGTCAGTGCCCTTAACCACCAAGCCATCTCTCCAGTCCAAGACTCGCAGTTCCATGAGTACAGCTCAACCTAAGAAGGAAACAAGAAATGTAGTGCTAACCAGGCACACCCCTGAGGTCCCTGTCATTATTGCTTTGAGGTTTTGGTAACTGAAGCTCCCCACTGAGAATAGTGGGCAGACTAGTCAAGCCAGTGTATAGAGAGCAGGCAGCAGGTTTCCAAGTGCGGAAAGTATAAGTGTGTATGTTGGGTGGGCGGGCACTGCAGCTGAGGAACGGTATGCCTAGAGTGAGCAAAGACATAAGGACATAAAAACACGTGGCTTCCTGTGGGCATCAGTGGCAGCATCCTCACCAGGAGAGTACAGAGCAGTGGGCGGACGGCACTGTGTGGGGTAGACACAGGATGTTTGCCAGCCAGGCAGTCTCTACCTGATCCACAGAAGGGTTATTAAACAGTGGAGTGGTAGTCTGAGGGAGGAGCCATGTGGCAGTAAGGTGTCTGATATGGGAGTAAAAGGGGACCTGAAGTGAACTGAACCATCAGGTAGACATCTAGACAGCAGGTGCTGGCTGACCAGGTGATTAGGTGAAGAAGAATTGCTTAGCAAAGAGTCTTAACACAGGAGGGCTGGAGAGCTCACCTAATGGGCACAAAGCCCTGGACTCAGTCCCCAGCATCATATAAAACCTGTGCATTCCCAGAGTTCAGAAGATGGAGGCAGGAGACTTAGAAGTTCAAGATTGGGCTGGAGAGATGGCTCAATGGCTAAAATCCCTTTTCCAGAGGAGCCATCTTCAATTCCCAGCACCCATGCTGGATCTCTCCAGCAACCACGGTAACTCCAGCTCCAGGGGAGTCAATGTCTCTTCCAGCTTCCAATAGGGACGTGCACGCATACATGAGTACACACGCACGGGCACACACATGCTCACGTCTTTAATCCCAGCACTTGGGAGGCAGAGGCAGGCAGATTTCTGAGTTCGAGGCCAGCCTGGTCTACAGAGTGAGTCCCAGGACAGCCAGGGCTACACAGAGAAACCCTGTCTCGAAAAACAAAAACAAAAAAAGAAAAGAAAAAAGAAAAAAAAGTTCTTAAAAGTCATCGTTGAACTGAACCACCAACAAAAGAGCAGGCTGGACCTAGGCTCCCCGCACGTATGTAGCAGATATGCAGCTCGGTCTTCATGTGGGTCCTGAACAACCAGAGCAGGGGCTATCCCAAAAGCTGCTGCCTGTACATGGGATATGTTCTTCTAGCTGGGCTGCCTTGTTTGGCTTCAGTGGGAGAGGAAGCCCCTAGCTTCCCAGAGACTTGAAGTGCCAGGGTGGGCAGTATACCCAGGTTCTTCCTGCCTGGAATCTGTGTATCTCGTAGAATCTGAGGCTGAGTCCACTAGAGAGAATGAGACATTTGGAAGTCCGCTGCTGAGATTGTAACTGCTGTTGTCTGTTTTCAGCCTTGGAGAGCCTTCCCCAGCCACCCAGCAGTTCCAAGTCACAAAGAAGAATCACGTCTTCTCAAACAGAGAGTGAAACATCCCCAGGCTTTCTGGAGAAGACAAGGGAGCTCCCAGAAGAAGGGACTGTGCACACGCAAGTGGCTGGCACCTGGGTTTCCCGCCAAGCCTCCCTTCCTGCTCTGGAACCCGGGGAGCCAACTGTGCTCTCCCAGAAGAGAAATTCATCTGACCAGGAGGACTCCGGGCCACCATTCTCCTGGACCCGGAGTCTCCCTCCTCCCTCAGACCACCCCTCATGTGAGTACTCCTGTCCCCAGCTGAACCTTCCAATCTCAAAATAACCCCAAGTGGATGTGTGTAGCCAGGTGGCCAAGTGCTGTGTCAGGATAAGAGAACGACAATAAGCAAAGGATGATTTAAAAACCATTCCTTCAGTGCCAAGGGCTTTGAGTGCAGTAAGTGCTGCTTATCTCACTATTGAGCTTCACACTTAAAATGTGCCTTAACTGTATGCCGAGGAAAATATCAGCTGGTCCGGTGGCTGCTGTGTCCCCACCTCCTGTCTCCCCTTTTCCTTCTCTATACACACACACACACACACACACACACACACACACGACAAAGATCACGTGTGACTGAGGTGTGTGCTTATAAGAGAGGCCCTGTGCCAGGGTGCTTGAATAAAATGTGAGCCAGACACCGCTACACCGTCTGTTAGCAGTTTGAATCTTGTTTGTTTGTTTTGCAAAAGCAATTTCTTTGATGGCTGAGAAAATAGGTGTGTATGTTTTCCCGACTTTGTTTCAAAAGTTTACACAGTACAGGTGTTTGCATGGCTTTTGTTAGACCCTGTGGTTGTAGGGAACCCATTCTGTGATGTCCCTTCTGACGCACTAAACTACTAAACTACTCTAAGCCACCGGTGTTTCTTCTGAGACACTAAGTCGCTTGTCAGACCAGGTCAGCCAATGCTTACCTGCACAGAGACTGTAGCCCTCTTGAGGACATTTCTAAAACAGTGTTCAGTAGTTAAGAATTGGGGCGGGGAGGGGGAATGCTCACTTGTGCTCACAGATCTCCCAGGGGACAGAGCCAAAAAGATGCTGTAAACTGCCCCTCTGCCTGCAGTTCAGGTTGTGTTTTTATTTAGCCTTGAGCTATGGGAGGCCAGACAGAATAGCAGGATTAGCCCTTTTCAGAAGCCTTTTGAGGGCTGGAGAGATGGCTCAGAGGTTAAGAGCACTGACTGCCCTTCCAAAGGTCCTGAGTTCAATTCCCAGCAACCACATGGTGGCTCACAACCATCTGTAATGGGATCTGATGCCCTCTTCTGGTGTGTCTGAAGATGGCTACAATGTATTCATATACATAAAGTAAATAAATTTTTTTTTTTTTTTTTTTGGTTTTTCGAGACAAGGTTTCTCTGTATAGCCCTGGCTGTCCTGGAACTCACTCTGTAGACCAAGCTGGCCTCGAACTCAGAAATCCGCCTGCCTCTGCCTCCCAAGTGCTGGGATTAAAGGCGTGCGCCACCAACGCCCGGGTAAAGTAAATAAATTAATCTTAGGAAAAATAAAAGAAAAGCCTTTTGAGTGGGGGGGGTGGTTTGTTTTTAGTTTCTTAAATACATATAGCTTTCTATTTATTCTTGGAGAATTCCATGCATACATACAGTAGATTTTAATCATGTTCACCCTCCACGTAACCACTGACCAGCTCCTCCAGACTCCTCCTAGATTTCCATCATGTTATAGCTTCATGGCCTTCCTCCCTCCCTCCCTTCTTCCCTCCCTCTCTCCTTCCCTCCCTTCCTTCCTCCCTTCTTCCCTCCTTATGCATCCAGTCCTTGCTTCCCAGAAATCCATGGGTGTGAGGCCATCCATTGACACATGGTCAACCTACCAGGGACCACATCTCCTGAAAGAAACCAACTCTTCCTCTCGTAGCTACTATCAGCTATCAAGAGCTGCTCAGCTTGAGGTGGGGGGTTTATGTTCCACTTCCTCAACCATGACATCATGGGTTTTTTTTTTTTTAAGTACTTTGCAAAACTGGAAGTTCGGTCTATGTCATCAAAGCAAAGACTGAGCCCCGAGGTCTCCTCTGGAACACCTATTTAAAGGACCAGTCTTCTTGCCTAGGCTTAGCGTGCAACTCCCTGCTAATGGGGTGTGGGCAGAATTCATGGTTCATGTTTGCAGAAGATTGCTTTTTAAGATTATCTGTAAATGGCCTGGAGAGATGCTCAGTGGTTAAGAGTCCTTCTTGCTCTTCCAGTGGACCCGAGTTCAGTTCCCAGCATCCATATCAAGTGGCACTAAAGTCACAGGGTCTGTAACTTGAGGTCCAGAGGGTCAGACGTTTTCTTCTGCACATTCACACAAAAACATACATCTGCATAAATAAAACTAAATAAACCTTTTTTAAAAAGATTATTTATAAGCGTTGGTTGAATTCAACAAAAGCTGTGATGCCATGCGGCCTTGGGTTCTGTGGCTTGGTTTTACAACCAGCTCTGCATTTCCAAGGAATCTCTACTGTGATTCTGGTCAGAGTCATTTAATGTTAATGGTATACATTACACCTAGGACTGTGGTATACTGAAAATGAATCCATGTTTCTAACTTTACTGGACTGGATTCTCTTCTTCTGTATATTTCAGGCTAAAAGGCAACAGACTCTTGTCTGCCTCTCAAGTGCTGACCTTCATTCTTTGGGTAGTTGTCCTAAATCAGTGGTTCTCAACCTTCCTAATGCTGCAACCCTTTAATACAGTTCTTTGTGTTGTGGTGACCTTCAACCATAAAATTATTTCATTGTACTTCATAGCTTTTCTACTGTTATGAATTATAATGTAAACATCTCTGTTTTCTGATGGTCTTAGGTGACCCCTGTGAAAGAATCATTTGACCGCCCAAAGGGGTTGAGACCCACAGATTGAGAACTGCTGTTCTAGAACCTTCCATTGCTAATGTTTGCAGTTTTGCTGACTTTCATAGTCCTTGAGTCTTACTAAGGATTTCTCTTCCTTAGTGACCTAGGTATTCAGCTGTAGGTGATGTCAGACTGCCCTCTAAAGTGCTTATTAAAGAGAAATTTAGTATGCCAAGGGCATACCCCAGCAAGTGCCTGAGGCCAATGAGGAAACAAACCTGTGCTCTGTTTTTAAAGTTATCGTGGGACCTTCTAGCCTACCCAGCAAGCTCTATACACCTCTCCTTCTACTGAATGGACATCATGAGATTCTACTAACTTTTTCTGAGTCTGTGACTGACACAGGAGTTCCAGGCATGTAGGCAAGAACGCCTAAGGAGGTCTAGCAGGACCTGCCATGGCAGACTTGGAGTCAGCCTGCCTCGTCCTGCTGAGTGAACAAGGACAAGCAAAGAAGTCCTGGCTCAGGGGAAGAGTTTGTGGTTTTTCTAGCAGTATGACCTAGGGAGAAAAGCCCAACATTTAAACCAGTCAGGTCTGTAATGTCCCTCGGGGGTGGGTGTGCCTACAGACGACAAACTAAGGGCATGGTGGAAGGTTCTTTCGATCTCAAAGGTGGCGACATTTGATGATCCATACATTCAACAGTGTCATCTGGGCCTCCTTTACTGCCATCTAGTTACACAAGTGTGTGGTGCTGGTTGTGTTTTTGCCAACTTGACACAAACTAGGGTTATCTGAGAAGAGGAACCCTTAATTGAGAAAATAGTTCTGTCTGATTGTCCTGTGGGGCAAATCTGTGGGCTTTTTTTTTGTGGGTCCTTGTTCTGTAAGAAAGCAGGCTGAGGGACTGGAGAGATGGCTCAGTGGTTAAAAGCACTGACTGCAATTCCAGAGGTCCTGAGTTCAATTCCCAGCAACCACATGGTGGCTCACATCCATCTGTAATGAGATCCAGTGCCCTCTTCTGATGTGTCTGAAGACAGCTACAGTGTACTCATATACATAAAATAAATACATCTTTAAAGAAAGAAAGTAAGAAAGAAAGCAAGAAAGCAAGCAAGCAAGAAAGAAAGTAGGCAGGTTGGTTGAGCAAGCCAGTAAGTAGCACTTACTGATTTCATGGTTTTACTTCAAAGATGGGCTTTTACCTAGACTTTACAATAAAATAAACTTTCTTTCTTTCCGGAGTTGCTCTTGGTCAGTATTTTATTACAGCAATAGAACACAGACCAGAGCACACTGTTCAGCCTCTTCCACATCCTGAACAGCCAGGAGTTAATCTGTGTCTGAATAGAATCTATATCTTACAGCACCAAAGCAGGCTCAGGAAGATGAACTAGGGGACTGCAAAATTAGAAGGCTTTGCTGTCCATCCTTTCCTGCGCTCTGCCTCTCTAGACTTTCCATTGGTCTCTTTGACTGTCCTGGTGTGGGGGCGGGACTGTAAACAAAGCAACAAGTGGCCCTGCCCGGTGAGGAGGGTGGGGAGGAAGCTCTCTTCTGAAGGCCCAAATGTGTATGTTGAATTGTGTGAGAGTGACTACAATTCAGAACTAAATTTAGTATGAGCTTCCTGGAAATGGGGGCACAAAGGGAAGCTGGGTGGAGTATGAGACTGTTGTCGGACAGTCAGCATATGGTTTAGCCCATAGGCAGTGGGCAGAGATTCCAAGAGGAATACTTATGTAAGGGTGCTGAAGATCATAGTAGAAACTGCTTTCAATTGTTGGTTTGTGAGACTCAGGCTAATGTTCTTTGAAGGTGACATTTTGTCGACTCAGGGAGAGCTGAGGTGTAATGATGGGTTTTTGGCTTATGGGAATCTTTCCTGTGGGCAGCTGAGCTGATGCGGTCCAGGTAAATCGCTTTGTGGTGATGTCACTTTGTGAAGGGAGAGAACAGAAACGACTTGAAGGATTTTGGATTTAGTCTGCCTTGTTGTAATATCAGCCGCCTCAGCTTTAGTTCTGGGAAATTCTGGATAGCCGTCAAGGTCGAGCAGTGTGACCGTGACGATGCTTTAGGCTCTGGGGTTTTGTCCTGTGACAGAAAGGGACACGTGCTCATACCAGGTGAGCAGCTATTCCCTCTGTGGCCTGTTACAAAGACTAGGAACTTAGCTCAGGCCTTGTCCCAGTCAGTGGTGATATTCCAATTTTTAAAAATTTTTATTTAAAAATGTTTATTAAATGTTTATTAGTGTCAAATGTTAAATGTTTATTAGTGTCACAGTGTGTGAGAGCCAGAGGACAACTTGAAGGACTCAGTTCTTCTCCTTCCAACCATGGGACACAGGATTGAACTCTTGTCCGGTTTGGTGGCACGGGCCTTTACTGCTGAGTCATCTTACCAGATAGTCATCAGACCCATCCATCCATCCGTTCACGCACTACCCGCCACCACTGTCCCTTAAGGAGAATATTGAACAAGTGACGTAATGAAGTTGATTAGAAATAAAAATCTCTTTAAAGTAATTTGTAGACCATTTATGGAACATATCCATATCTCTATCACTCCTTCCTTAGACAAAAGTGGTTCTTGTTTTAGCACATGACAACTTTTCTTTTTATTGTTTACAAATTTCATATGTGCGTATAATGTATTTTGACTAAATTCAATTACCCTATTCTCCGCTTCCCAAAGTGCTTTAGGTGTTTTGGGTTTTTTTTTTAACTTTTATTTTATGTGCATTGGTGTTTTGTCTGTATGTATGTCTCTGTGAGGGTGTCAGATCTTGGAGTTACAGATGGCTGTGAGCTTCCATGTTGGTGCTGGGAATTGAACCGGGCTCCCTCTGGGGCAAGTAGTTAGTGCTTTTAACCACTGAGCCGTTTCTCCAGCCCTGTGGTTTTGTTTTTGTCTGTGTTCCAGCAGAGCTGGATGCCTTTGCACCCACTGTCTCTGTGGATAGCCTGCACCTGCGTCTGCTCACTAAGCTCCAGTAGTCAGAGCAGCAGGCTGTGTTCCCACTGTTCATGGTTTTTGCACAAGAGTAAAAGAAACCTTTTCTTTCTATACTCTATCTATCTGTCTATCTATCTATCTATCTATCTATCTATCTATCTATCTATCTATCTATCTTTTTTATTTTTATGTGCACTGGTGTTTTGCCTGTATGTGTTTCAGATCCTCTGGAACTAGAGTTACAGACAGTTGTGAGCTGCCATGTGGGTGCTAGGAATTGAACCTGGGTCCTCTGGAAAAGCAACCAGTGCCCTTAACTGCTGAGCCATCTCTCCAGCCCCCCCTCCCCCTTCCCCATACTTTCTCTCAATGTCTAAAATCTGTTTGTGCTTTCGGCCACAACTGCACATAAGACTGGTCTTCAAAGAACTCTTTATAATAGCAGCTTCTTTTTTTCCCTTTTCTGAGCCGTGATTAACAGCTGAAGCCTTTCATGGTAGGGGTATAGACGGTTCTTTGTTGCTGTTGGCTTCATGTGAGAAAAAGAAAGAAAGCACCTTCTTTCCTTGCCTGCCGTCATTTTGTTCGCCAGCTTTCCTGCACCTGATGAGAATATCTTGTGGTGCTGGATTTCAACACGGCCTGGTACATGCTGAGTAAGCTCCCTACCCCAGGGTTGTGGCCTCAGCCCTTTGGTGTTAGGGCTTTAAGGCTTTAAGGTGCCTTGTTAAAGTCAGTTTGGTTTTATTTTTGTGTTTTTACTTTTGTTTGGGTTTTGTTTGTTTGTTTGTTTTGAGACAGGGGTTCACTGTGTAGCCCTGGCTGTCCTGGAACTCACTGTGAAGAGCAGGCTGGCCTCAAACTCCAAAATCCTCCTGCCACTGCCTCCCAAGTGCTGGGATTAAAGGCTTGTGCCACTACTGCCTGGCTAGTGGTCAGTTCTCAAGTACCCTTAGAAAGTTTCCCTATGGAAGGACACTCTCAGCTGTGCCACTGTGATGAGGGACAAATGGTGGATTCTGTGGTATATATAATATCATATATATATATATTCATTCATTCCTGACGCTCTTGGCCATTATCCAAGGACTTCCATCCATTTTACTGATCAGAAAAACAAAAAAATTGTCCCCAGCCTAGAGTTTTGAATTTCTAGAGTGTTCCCTGGAGTACTATGCTAGTTTGAAGATGGCTCTCTCTAGCTTAGTAACACTTAGTAACTAACTACAGTAATGGAGTTTGTCTGCTTTTAGGTGAAATTAAATAAAATTCCTGGAGCAATAATACATTCTCCTGTGGGTTAGTAGTTCGGCTGATGGATGTCGTTTGAATGGTCTTTCAAATCATAAGCTTCATGCTGACTGTGGTTTAGGGAATAATGAAGAGCTTTTGGTGACTAGGAACCACTGTCCTAAGCCAGTAGTGCCTTGGCTGTGTTCTGCAGAGCCCCAGGGCTAACTGGGGGAGGGGGGTGCACACCCTGCACTGGCTCAACCCTGATTCATGGTGTGGACTGGATTTTAGTCTATGATAGCATTTGAACAAAAGGGTTACATAGCTTAAAACAAACCGGCAGCAATAGCCTATACTATCATGGTGGCCTATACTGTGGGTTTCCTGTGCTATGGAATGCAGTCCCTCTATACAAAACAAGTTGATTTTTTCCCTTCGTCTGGGTTTCTCCTATCTACCTTGTAGCTCGCATAGAAAATGTAATTTGTGCATGGTGAGGGATCTGACTGTTACCAGCCCTGTGAGACTCAGAACTGCTGAGGAGAAAGGAAAGGAGGGGCTCCTAGTTGCACTCACATGTATTAATGGGATACAAATGTCTGCTATTACATCACTCATATTAAATATCAAATGGATACTCATATCAAGTGGAATAAGCATTATTTGTACCTAAATAGAATCCTGATTTTCTTCACCATTCAAGTGTTTTGAAGCATGTTCTTCTTCCGTCTTAGCTTCTGCAAGGATAAAGAATGGTGACAACTTCACTGCTCTCCCAAACCCATCAGTCACTCATACAAAGAGCATGCTTGTCACGGACACGTTCACTAATGGCGTCCCAAGAACGCTGCGGTCTCTGCCTGTCGGTGTGGAACCTGCAGATGAGACAGAGAGTCTCCCTGCGCACTCCAGACTAGCTATAACTTCAATGTCAGTCCACTCTTCACCCTCTGTGAAGGACTCAAGGACAAACAGCGGACTAACTGAGCATCTGGGAGATGGGGAAGGCACTGAACTGTCTACAGAAAATGGATATGGACTTCCATCTATACACTGGCAAAGTGATGCCCCCCGTGAGTTATTATACCTTTATTTGACCATGAACATTATTTTATTTTATTTTTTATTTTTTATTTTTTTATTTTATTTATTTATTTATTTATTTGGGGGGGGTTTCGAGACAGGGTTTCTCTGTGTAGCCCTGGCTGTCCTAGAACTCACTCTGTAGACCAGGCTGGCCTTGAACTCAGAAATCCGCCTGTCTCTGCCTCCCAAGTGCTGGGATTAAAGGCGTGCGCCACCACCGCCCAGCGACCATGAACATTTTATATAGCTGGTTGTCCTGAGGGATCCTCTTTAAGACCATTTGCAGTTTCTGAAGGGACATGTGACTTTGGTGACACCAGATCCTCTATCAGCTTTTTTGTCTTTGGGTGTGGACAAGTGCCCTCCCGAAAATGAAAACACCAAGACTTGAAGGGTCTAAGTAAAGCAAGCACAGCTTCTTAGATCCCTCAGCAGAATGGAGATCTCAGCCTTGGGGCTTTCACATGGCTGGTCCATATTCTTTTCATTCTGTAATGTCATCTTCAAAGGGAGGCCTGGCCTGCTCTCTGTATCTGTATTCACTGATTTTGTGTATAGACCATCTTTTTAAATAAGTTGTCAGACATAAACATATTTCCCAAATTCATCGTTTGGCTTACTTTTATAGTGTATTTTACTATACATTAAAAGTAGAAAATGTTAATTAGTATTCCAGCTTTTTTAGGGGGAAATGCCCTATCTATGATATTTATGCCATTGAACTTGCTAGATGTAATGACTCCTCCCTTGAGCTACTTTCTCAAGGGACAGAGAGAAACTCCCAAGCCTATAAATTGCTGTTTGCGCATGCTGCTCACAAGTCTCCTGCTCACCAGCCTTTATTCTTAAGATTACAATGTTGCTGAGATCCAATAATTTTAGAAAAATTTGCAACATGACGATGAGATGCCTGTAGGGTGACCCATATAAACGCTGTTCAAGGCTCCTTAGCAAAGGAAGCTTGCCTGAGAGAGGACATCTTAGTTGTTAAGCATCTTTTCCAGGTCCACTAATGGCCTTTCCCCTCTGTGATATCTTACAGCCTTCGGAGGGCATCAGCTTGCCAGCAGCTCTGAAGCAGGAGATGGAAGTGCCATGCCTCTGACTGAGACTGGGTTTAGGTCAGACCCCTCCATCGATGGTGGAGAGAGCACAGGACGATGGTTTCCTGCCAAGAATAAAACATCTACAGTTGCAGCAGAAAGCTCAGCTTTGCATCCAGAAGCTGGGGCCACTTGGGGTTTGACTCAGTCCTCACACACTGCACAACAGCCCCGAGGTGGTGACTCGGGGATGGGTGGGAGGAGTTACACAGAGTCTTCATCTTCTTCATCAACATCTTCTTCCGAAAGTCTGGATTCCTCAGCACCTCACAGAGAGCATTCAAGTGAGTTCTTAGTGTATGGAAATAGAGCACAGGGCCTTAGGATGTGTCTGATCATTCCATCTACCAGAGCATGCTTTAGGAAAAGAATTTTACTATTTCCAGGCCATTCTCTTAGCTGGTTAATACAAACATGCATACGTGCGCCATCGTTTTTTTGTCTGGTACATCTCAATTGTTTTTCTATGGTGTGTGTGTGTGTGTGTGTGTGTGTGTGTACATAGAGTCGTACAATTCTCAGTTTGTTATACTAGTGACAAGGAACATCTATTCATGTAGTAATTGCTGAGGTGTGTGACTTCTTTGAAGATGCCTATTTGAATATTTTGACTATTTTAAAGTTAAGCTATCACTTTTCTCATTGAGTATAAGGTGTTTTGTTTGTTTTGTTTGTTTGTTTGTTTTTTAGTATTCTGGACACTAGTCCCTTCTGATATGTGTAACTCAGTGTACTTTCTCCCATTCTGTACTTTGTTGTTTTTACTTTTTTAAAAATTTATTTATTCTTATTTTATTGCATCAGTGTTTCACCTGCATGTGTGTCTGTGTGCGTGTGTCAGATCCCTTGTAACTGGAGTTACAGACAGCTGTGCGCTGCCATGTGGGTTCCAGGAACTGAACCCAGGTCCTCTGGAAGAGCAGCCAGTGCTCTTAACCACTGAGCCATCTCTCCAGCCTCTCATTACATTTCTAACAGGTTTAAGTTCTGACATCCCCACCACTGAGGAGGTCACTGCTTATCACTACGCCTGTAACACACAAAAGCATCTGATTGTGAAAGAATCAATCACGTGTATGAGCTTGGTGTGGTGGTGCAAGCTTTATAATCTAGCATTCAGGAGGCAGAAGCGGGTGGATTTCTGAGTTCAAGACCAGCCTGGTCTACATAGCAACAGCACAGCCAGAGCTACATAGTGAGACCCTGTCTCAAAAAAAAGACAAAAAAGACTAAAGAGCAAATGCGTGGGGAGAAGATGTTTATAGTCTTTTATTTCTTTACCTGAGAAACATCATTTTCCACTCTCATCTCTTTGGGACCCAGGAGGTTTACCTTCACAACCTGAGACCCTAGGTTCCTCCCCCAGCCTCATCCTGAGTAGTGAGGATTGAATTTGAGGCCTGGTGCACACTAAGCAACAAGCATGCTGACACTGCTGTGCCCCCAGCACAGTCTTTGGTTCCATAGTTTTACATTTTCATGACACTTCTCTCTGCAGGAAATGCTCAGTTGGTTCATGTGGAAAACACAGTCTCATTGCGATCAGACCTTTGTGTGATTAAAAAGCTCAGTGGGGCTGTAGCGGGTGGGGTGGGGCTGGGGGATGGCTCAGCCATTAAGAACACTTGCTGCTTTTACAGAGGACCTGAATTTAGTTCCTAGCACCTACATCAGGCAGCTCCCGACTCTAGAATAGCTATCATCTGATGCCCTCTTCTGGCCTCCATGGGCAACTGCACCTGTATGAACATTAATACACATGCACATACGCATAATTTTTAAATCCTTTTTAAAAAACTAGATAAGGGGTAGCCTCATTCCTGAAATGATCTCACTATGGACTTGTGTAATACTTTCTCTCTTTGACTCTGAATCAGCCAAAGCTGACTAATTATAACACCTGCCCTGGCTAGTTCTCAGTCTGCCCCCTTGCTAGGTTCAAACCCACCTGCTTCAGGCTATGATGCTTCTATCAGCCTCTAACCCTGATGTGACTGTTTGCCTGCCTAAATTTCACTGGCAGAGTATACGCGATCTCTCAGTCAATATCTTTTCCTCTTTGCCCACAAAATTCCAGTTTTGTGGCCCACAAATTTAAGAGTTGGGCCTCTTGCACCCATACTGGGTGGCTCAGCACCCAGGTGTCTCCTAAGTCCTTCAGCATACCTTTAAGTCACCTTTGACTTAAAGGTTTCTGCTTACTGTTGCTCTGGGTCACTGATGTCCTGTCCGCATGCTCATTTCCTGTTGAAGATTCTTTTCTGTGCCGAGAGAGAGAGAGAGAGAGAGAGAGAGAGAGAGAGAGAGAGAGAGAGAGAGAGGAGAAGCACTCATTAACACTAATAGTGACTACTTTGGGAATGGTTAGTGGGGCTACAGAGATGGCACTCAGCAGTTGAATGCATACCACTATTGCAGAAGACCTGAGTTCTTTTTCCATCACCCTAATCAAATGGTTCACAGCCAACTCTAAGTCCTAGGGATCTCACGCCCTCTCTGACCACTGTGGGTACTGCACTCATGTTTCCAAATCCACATTCAAACACACATAATTTAAATATGAAAATAAAGGGTCTGGAGAGATGGCTCAGTGGCTAAGGGTACTTGTGATCCTTGAAGAGGACCTAGGTTCCTTTCCAGCTTCCACATGGCAGCTCACAACTGCCTGTAACTAGGGCATCCAGGGAATCTGACAACCTCTTCTAGCCTCTGCAGGCATCAGGCACACACGTGGTACACATACTCATACACACCAAAAATAAAATAAAGGCATAAAAATTAAAATAATTAAATAAAGAGTGTTTTTAAAAAATATTTATTTTATTTATGTGTATGTGCACAGATCAAGTTTGGACTTGATGTTCATTATTTCTGAAAATGATTTACTCGGTAATCTAACAATGTAAGCGAGTTCTAAGTTTAGCATACAACATATACCCTGTCAAAAGAGAGAAAGGGCATATTTATTCATGTGCTGCCTTCTTAGTCCAACAAAATAGAACAAGTGCATTAAAAATAAAAACAGGGCTGGCAAGATGGCTCAGTGGGTAAATCTTGCCACCAGGCCCAATGATTTGAGCTTGATTCCCCAAAACCCAAATGATAGAAGGAAAGACTCCAACTAATCATCCTCCACGTTTCCCACTCCTGCTGTTGCATGTGCACACATGCGTGCGCACACACACGTACATATAAAATAAAAAATAAAGAACACCAACTTTAACCTCTGTGCTTTTTTGGTTCGTTCGTTTGTTTTTGTTTGTTTGCTTTTTGAGACAGGGTTTCTCTATGTATCTCTGGCTGTCCTGTAACTCACTCTGTAGACCAGTCTGGCCTCGAACTCGGAGATCCACCTGCCTCTGCCTCCTGAGTGCACCATCACTGTCCATAAGTATCCATGCTATTTTTTGATCCATGATGACTGACATTCCACAGGCCCCAGTATTCTGGATCTTTTGTCTGGAGTAATATCCTTACAGTGAATTCAGGACATCTGAACAGAGGTATCAACCCTCTGGGCACTGAGAATGAGCCTCGGGGAAGCCTCTGGGTTCGAATGTGAAGCTAAAAGTCTTGTCCCTGTGTTTACTTTGCGCTCAGCTCCGGAAGATGGTGCAGTGCTGAGTGGCAGCTCAGATCTGGCGGACAGCACTTCCGTGGCGCGCGCACCTCACACATCTGCAATGTTCACCCGGAGTGGGGAACGCACGCTGCGGTCCCTTGACCTCTCCCATACAGCGACCCGACCTGCGCGCCCCACTTCACACGGGAACGGGAACGTGACAGAGCATGCTGGCCTGCTGTCCCGGGCACCAACCCTCGGAGGTGTGTCTTCCCATGGCTGTCTGTAGATTGACCCGCAGTCCTGGGATGTTAAGTTGGCTGGAAACTCAAAAATTAGGTTACTGCTTATTAGGAAAAGAGCTTTCTGGGTTCTCCCACCCCTCTCGCCTTATGCTTGCTTGAGGTATATGGGATGACATCTGCCTGAGGGGTTTAAACTAAAGGAAAACAGTAACTGTGCTGAAGGCCATCTCCCGGGAAGAAATACCTCATTATACAGAGTGGAAAGTTGGGAGCGGATTTCTTTTTCCATTTGATAATGGCAATTACTGTTTGGGATCCAGGGAGGTTTTCAATGGCAATTTGTTTTTATTAGAAAGGGGTATGAGGAAGGGCTTTGGAAACATTTCCTATTTTTAGGCTCCTGGTCCCTGCTTCTCCCTGCTGGTTACAGGAGGAGGGAGGACCTACTCTGAGTGACCCTGACTATTTCAGCCTTCCTGTGTCATCTTCACTCAGAGTGCTGGCCATGAGAAATTGCCTTTCACAGACAGTATCTTCCTCATTTAAGTTCACAGATAAGATACAAAGAGTATTTTCCAGTGCTTGTGTCAAAGATTCCTCGTCTACTTCACTCAACCTTGTCTTTTGTGTTTGCAGTCACCGGACTTAGCTACACTCAAGAGCATGGCTCAGATGCTAGACAAAGGACTTCCAGCGACCACACAGACCACGCCTATGTTCCATCTACTTTCACCAAAGGAGAACGGACGCTACTGTCCATTACAGATAACACTTCCTACTCGGAGGCTGGTGAGAGGTCAACCTCTTCCATTAAGATCTCAGACTCTCTACACTCAGACTCTCCTTCTCAGGCTCAGCCTAAACAAAGTAGCACACCCGCCTACGATGGCCACCCTGCTCAGTCTTCCACTGAGTCACCGGTTCTGCATACGTCCAACCTCCCAACCTACACATCCACGGTTAATATGCCAAACACCTTGGTTCTTGATACCAGTACCAAACCTGTTGAGAACCCACCTGATTCAGGGGTGCCTTCAGCTCCGCCCTCACCGTCACAACCCCAGCCGGTCTCATCAGCCGTGCCATCAACCGGGTCTCCAATACAGCAGCTGAAGTCTACCTCTGAGACAGCCACATCCTCATCGTCCCCTTCGCCCGTCGCCTTAATGGTGTCCACTCTCACCCCATATTCTGTCCCACAAACAACCTTCCCACATCTGTCTCCTACCCTAGTCCCTCACAGGGCAAGGGAGCCACGTGTGACTTCAGTCCAAATGTCAACAACGGTATCTGCTGTAGCATTGGTCCCCAGCAACCAAACAGCAGACCCCAAGAACCAGAGCACCCCGCAGCAAGAGGAACCCATCACAGAAGCTAAGTCACCAAGCTTGGTGTCTCTGCCCACAGACTCTACCAAAGCAGTAACAGTGAGCCTTCCTCCAGGGGCCCCTTGGTCCCCAGCCTTAATAGGGGTCTCCATAGAGCCAGCCCTTCCATCCACAAGCACCAGCTTAGCCCAGATGTCTCCAGCTTTGACATCTGCCATGCCCCAGACTACTAACTCTCCTGTGACCAGCTCCAGCACCCTGTCACCTGTAGAACCTTTGACCCCAGATACTGTTGTACACACTACCCCAGAGAAACAACACCTCCCAACCAATCCTGAAATTCTAGTGCCACAAATCTCAACTGAAGGGGCCGTCACCACAGAAGGGAACAGGGAGCACATAGAGCCTACCACTCTCCCTCTGACCACTTCAATCACGCCAGCAGAAGAAATGGCCACAGAGCTTGGCCATGTGGAAGAGTCCAGCCCGGCTTCACATTTTCTTAGACCATCTTCACCTCAAACCACAGAAGTTTCTACATCTGAAATGTTGACTTCCAGATATACCACTTTTGCTGCCCAGAGCACCCCACAGTCACCAACAGCACTGTCACCTCTAACCCCAGGTAAAGTGCATCTTACAAATACATTGCCCACTAGGCCCTGTCCAACATTAGAGCTACAAGGAGCTTGTGGCTTGTGTGAATGTGTAGACATGGCTAGTATCTGGGACTGTTTTATGACCCAGAATGACTCCCATTGAAGTATAAAGCATGAAGTATGGGCAGTGTGGGCCTAATTTTCTCCTGATATCCCCCAAGTTACGTGACTCTTTCTGAAGAACGAGGAGAGAGAGCACTTTGGCCCTGTGTGACATGCATAGACGATGTAACTGTAGCCTGTCATGCCCTGTAATGGTCCAAGCATTTCAAATGTGCCTTTAACTCATCTAAGGTCAATGAGGGGCATAGATGTGGGTTTGGACAATGGAGAAGCTGGAAGAGCAACGTTCACAGGGCTAAGATGCAGAATGTCAGCAGAACACTTGCCTGGCACACACACAGTCTCCCACAGGTTCTCGGGCACCACAAAAGATAAAAGAAGCTTTAGTTGATCTGTTAGAGGCAGGGATGAGTTGAATGTCTGCACTCCAAAGAGGGCCCAGAGCCCCCAAGTCAGTCAGCTCAGGGGCTTCCCAGAGTCAAAGGCTTCTCTCCATCCAGGGAGGCCCAGAGTTCTTTGTCTCCCTGATTCTATTGCTAGTTGGTAACCAGAAGAAATACAAACAAAAGAATGTTCAACAGACCTCTTCCAGGTGACCGCTTGACCAGAGCTTCTTTGCCTTGTACAGGGTAAGGTTATCTGTACAACGTGTGGAAGGTGCTGGTGTCAGAAAAAAGGCAACCCGGGACAAAAAAAGGCAGAGGCAGGACAGCAGGACAGCAGGACAGCGGGACAGCAGGACAGCGGGACAGTGGGACATGTGGTTGATGCAGACTCAGGAAAGGAGAGCTGCTGTTGAAGGAGAGACAGATCTACATCTTAAGTAACAGGGAAAGGAGGGAAACGGTGTGTGGCAGCTACAGCAGAGAGCTCAGTTTGTAATACAAATTTCAGTTAGTGAGGATGAACCTGGAGTGTGGGGGTCATAAGCTGTCCCCATTGCTAACCCACAGTGCCCCCTTCTCAGCAACCTGAGTATGTCTAAGAAGTAAAAGATAATTGCTTCTCCAGAAAAATCTTTATTTCCACTGGCCAATACATTCAGTCCCGGGTTCAGCAGACTCCCTTAAAGCGAGTGTTAGCTGTTACAGTGGCTGTAGGTGAGTGTTTACAGCATGTTCACAGCAAACTATAGAATTACCTAAGGGCACAGTAGGCACCCTGCTAAGTAACTTTTAAAGTATGGTGTCTGGGGAGACGACTCAGTGTCTGTTTAGGGGATATCCTGTTCTTGTAGTGGCCCTGAGTTTGGTTCCCAGCACCCACATGGAGAAACTCACAATCAGTTAGGAGGTAGAGTTAAGTGGATCAGGGGCTCAAGGCCATCCTGAGCTATATAGTTAATTTGAGGCTAGCCTGGGCTATATGAGACCATCTCAAGATAAAAACAACAAAAAGCGTAGCAACTACAAATAAATGTACATGTTTCAAGATTTTTTTTTTCAGATAAAGGTTTCTAGAATTTTGACAAAGTCCAAGAGAAAAAAGGAGTCATGTCTATGTGTTCCTTCCTGCACAGAGTGAATCTTGGAGCAGACAGGATAAATGGATGAGGAATTCTGTCCACCTTAGAACACGTTTTAAGCTGGCATGTACTGAGTCCAGTAGAATTCTCTAAGTATCACAAAGACAATATAATTATGGGTCCTGAAACAAGTGGCCTGCAAGAAGCACTTAGTGTGTGTGCTTACATTCAGGTATGCAATTATCTAGCACTTGAATACGAACACAAACTGCATCTGTGCCCAGTATCATCACCTCTGTCTCCGCACCTCCGGGGACCCTACTCCGTTTTAGTGGATGTGAGTTTAAATAGGGCGAGTAAACAAACATAAGCCAGACCCAAGCGTCAGCTGCGAGAATGAGATGTTTGCCAGAGCTGCTTCGACATCACCTGCCTCACTCCTTCCATGTGTTTAGGCAACAGCTGTGCCGCGAACCCTTGTCTTCATGATGGTGAATGCATTGTGGACCTCACCGGTCATGGGTATCGATGCGTGTGCCCACGTGCCTGGCAAGGGGACAACTGCAGTGTGGGTAAGAGGCAGGATCGTTTACTGTAATGCTACCTGGGCTATTGGGCTGTTCAGTAAGATCCTTTTTCCAGGGTTGGCAGCATGTACTCTGCTTGCAGAGGACCTAAGTTTGAGTTCTATAACCCAGATCGGGCGGTTCATTACTGCCTATAGTTGTACCTCCAAAGCAATTAGACACCTCTGGCCTCTGCAGGCACCTGTACTCATGTGCACACACACACACACACACAGTTAAAAACAATCATTTTAAAAGAGCCTTTCTCTTCTAGAATATACAAAGGTACGATGTTTAATTTAATAGTCTTCTTCCTTGAGTGTTAGGATGCCTGTGTGTTGTCTATATGATAATATGAAGGACTACAGCATGATACAGACAAGCTTTTGCCTGGTTCTGTTCTGTGGATTCTCTATACTCCTGCAACACTGGACCATCTAGAGCTCCCTAAAGATACCTACACTCACTCCCCTGCCCTGGACGTTTACTCTGCTGGCTCCTCAGCTCAGAATCACACCCTCTTCCCAAAGATCTGCTTGTTGAAGTCTCTTTAGTCTTATTTATTATTTAAGTATAATTTAAAACACTCTTTAATTCTTCCCTGCATCAAAATCTACTCTTTCTGCTGGGTATGTCTTTAATCCCAGCACCCAGGAGCCAGAGATAGTAGAATCTCTATGAGTTCAAGGCCACTCTGATCTACATAGTGAGTTCTAGGCCAGCCAGGGATAAAACGTTGAGGCCCTGTCTCAAAACAATAACAACAACCACAACCAACTAGATCTATGTTTATCTCTGTACATGCAAATCCTGCCTGTGATATAGTTAATTCTTCATATGGCTGTCCACTGACCTGGCAGGCAGCCATCCCCTTGAGGACAAGGGTGGCTTCCCACTCTTCTTTTGAAGCACACACCCCACAGTGCCAGTTGGTTTTAGTATGTACTGGATTTTGATTCTTTGTCTGCCCCCGCATCAGCATGCTCTTGTTTGTCCCCCACTGCAGATGTGAACGAATGTCTCTCCAGCCCCTGCCCTCCCCTAGCTGTGTGCAACAATACTCAGGGATCTTTCACCTGCAGATGCCCCATCGGGTATCAGTTGGAGAAAGGAATATGCAATCTGGGTAAGAGAATTGTTTGCCTTGGAACTGTTTCCTTCCTAATCAAAGCCAACATTTTTTTTCCAAGCTAAAAAACTCAGGAATATAGAAGTGAAGCACACTGCCTGTTATTCCAACACTTGCAGATGCAATGCTTTTCTTCACCCTTTGTTGATGTACATTATATTTGTATATATTAAATCCAAAAGATATCTCTAAGTATATACCTATGTTACTAAAAAAGGACAAATATCTTAATGCCTGCATAGCATGCTCATTTGTGCATAACATTATTTGTGCAACTGTTTTACCCTTCAGTTAAAAAAAATCAAAAGGATATTCTAACTGCATAGGGGTTTTAAACATCATTTATTTAATTACAATTTCAGAGTGTTTATTTATATTTTAGAGTAAGAAAAGAGTAAAATTCTGATTGCCTTCTGTGTCCACACATTCTTCTTGTTTTTGAAAGTGGTCCTCGAGTTGTTAGCCACAGACAGGTGCATTTGAACATTGCCACCTCTGGAATCTGGCCACAATATCAGTCATGTTTGTCCCTCATTTGACAAGTCCACGAAGCTCCTTGGTTTTCCATTCACTCTTCATCCTACAAGTTAAAAAGCAGATCAAACAAATGCAGCAAAGACTAAAGCTCTGAGATGTTCAGTGACCAAGCATGGGTCACAGCTGATGGGAGGCCTGGTTTCTAGCCCACAGTTTTCTGTCGTACAACAATGTATTTATTGTAAGAGCATTTTGCACACGGGGCGTGGCCCTTGTTGGGTTTCCTGAGTGTAACACCTTGCTTGCTAGAGAAGCAAGAATAGAAAGAATAGAAATAGAATGAGAATAGAAATAGAATAGAAAGAAAGAATAGAAGTTAGAATGAGAAATACAGTTTCAAAGCTGAAGCTATCAGATAAAATAAGTCAGCTACAGTTGCCCAGTGTGGGGCCTTATGCACAAGTGCTCAGCCAATGTTTTGGGGAGAACCTATGACTGTGCTGCCTGCAAGTGTTATCTGCATGGACCCCTAATACCCACAGACAGAAGGGGCTTCTTAAGGCTGGCACTCTACTAAAATAAGAATTTTAAAAGTTGTCTGAAATACAAAAATTGAGCATTATTTTGTAAAAAGGAAAATCTACATATGTAGACATGAGTCAAAATCAAGAATTGCTCTCATCCTAATGCATCTGGGTAACCTGGTCCGTGTAGCCACACCCTGTAGGGAGCTAGCCGAGCGTGTGCACTGAAGAATGAAGGAGATGAGAATATTTGCTTTTGTTGTTTGTGTTTTGAAGCCCACGGTTTCAAACGCCTGACTTCAGGCTCCCAGCCACCCCCTGCACTGAACTGCCAGAGCCTCAGTGTTCCCATCTGTTAAATCAGATTGCAGCACGCTTCACTGCTCACTCAAGGTTTGGGGAATGTCGAATAGAATAATCTGTCTGAGCAAGCGCTGAGAGTGAAGAGCTGTCCAGATGGAAGGCAGCGTTCACCAGACTGGCTGCTATGAAAACACACTGCTCTCAATACAGAGCAGTTGTTGTAAGTCAATAGTGAAATCGGCCGTTAAGTTTGAGATAAAAATCCATCTTGGGCCAGTAAAGTGGTTCAGCAGATAAAGGTGCTCACTGCTGAGTCTGAGCAGCTGAGTTCGATTCCTGGGACCCACGAGGTAGAGAGAGAAAACCAATTCCCACAGGCTGTTCTCTGAATTTCCCATGAGTGCTTTGGACCATGAACACACATGCAAATGCATGCAGGCAGGCACAAAGTAGATAAATGTAATTCTTTGAAATACTCGTTTTAAAGCTGGATGGTGTAGACATGGAAGTTGTCTTGAATACACTAACTATATTAAGAACAGGGACACATCTGTCTCTTTCCACAATGTCAGAATTTATTGAGTCACAATAAGTTCAGAAGCTACTTCAATTTCATTTGCTCTAATTTGCCAAATTATTCTGATCTCCCTTGACAGCTGGCCATTGGCAAGCATAGGTTTATTCCAAATTTAATTACAAATATTAACTCAGATCACATGTTACACATCATAGTATAGGAGTGTGTGTGTGTGTGTGTATGTGTGTGTGTGTGTGTGTCACAGAATAGCTACAAAAAGGTTAAAGGGGCCTTAGGGGTGTCGGAGAGCTGATACGGATGAGAAGAGAATCAGTCGCTTTAGTGGTTAGATCAGGAACCATGTTGAAGAGTTGCTGAGAAGTACAGCAAGCTGCTGTGGGGGTGCAGGCTTGATCTGGGACTACACGTGAGGGGAGCTGTAGAGGCACAGGACTGTGAGGTGAAGCACAGACCCATATAGGCCACAGGGCTGAGATCTTACACAGAATGGGGGCCAGATGGACAAAGGGACAGAGAACGCCATGGCAAGAGTGGAAACTGAGCAGAGCTGAAGCCCTGTAGTCATGCAGTCCCTGTGCATACTGAGTGGTCAGAGGCCAGGTTGCTGGGACCATTGTCACAAGAGTGTCAGGTGTCCTCCTCTTTATAGGGTGCAGGAGTGGCTGTTGCACCCTTTCTTGGTGTGTTTCATAAGTTCTTAGGGCCTCCCTTTCCAATAAGAGTTTTAGAAAGCCCAGATACTCATACAGATCCAATCTGATTTGATTCATTTTTGCAACAAGATATTTAGCAGTCTGTGCCCCATGCTAGACAGGAGTGAGTATCACCACCCATAGCATGAAACAGAGTCAGACGCTGCTTGTAAAATGGAGCCACCCAGGACAAAGCATAGGCTGAAAGTCCTTGTTTCTACAATAAGCAGGAACTTAAGCCAAGCACAGCCTCATCTCCACAGAGGTATAAATGCCTTGGGCAAATCCTTTCCAGGAAAGAAGACAGGGTTTGGGAGAGGACAGATGATATTACTCATGTTAAAAACAGAAGGCACGGGCAGAAAACTTCTGTGTGCCTAACCCTTATCCTGTGCACTTTTCTGAACGGAGGGTGGATTTGAACCTGGACATGGGAAGGAATGAAGCCCAGCAGGTCAGGTGACTGTCCTGATAGCTTGTGTGCAGAGTGCCCGCCCACAGGTAGCACAGATGGGGAGGAAAGTAGTTCAATTGTGCAAACGACATCTTTCTCTTTTCAAGTCATTTGGCTTCATTGTTCGTAAACATCAGAGGGGCATCCAAATTAGAGCGTGCTGAGATGCTTTCCCTTGGCCCAGAGTGTTTTCAAAGAGCTGCCTGCTGTTCAGAAAGAGTCCTAAGCAGCTGGCTTCACTGAGCTGTGGAACAAGCAGAAGGATGTTAAATAAGAACTACAGGCTTTAGTCAGTTAACTCTAAAATGTTAGCTGTCTTCCCTGGCTCACTTGCCAGCCTTCCTCTTAATTCCGCTCGCAAGCTTTCTGTGTTAGAAGGACCCCAACTGCTGTGTTTCAGGTTATTTTTCTTCTGTATAGAGGGAAAGATATGAATTTAATATAAGGATAAGATATAATTTTATGATAAATTGATTTAATGATAAATAATAATTGATAAATATAATTTAATATGATGAGTGATAAGATCCAGCTCTAAAAACAGACTTAATTTTTGGTTGTCAGCCCATTCTGGAACCTCATGCCTAATCATCAGAAATTGGTGTTATCTAGAATTTTATTTTGTGAGTAAAATAGACCTTAAAATAAGGAGGCTTTCCCCCTTTCTGGACCCAGCAGTGTTTCTTTCTTTCTTTCTTTCTTTTTTCTTCCTAGACAGGGTTTCTTTGTGTAGTTCTGGCTGTCCTGGAACTCACTCTGTAGACCAGGTTAGTCTTGAACTCAGAAATCTGCCTGCCTCTGCCTCCACGTGCTGAGATTAAAGGCGTGTGCCACCACCACCCGGCAGGTTTTCTTTATGTGGCTGATAATAATGGAATCTTAGCACCTTGGAATCTAAACCTACTACAAATGTTTGTCACTCCTTGGTCACCTAGAAGAGGAAGGAGTATATTTACCCTCAAGAAGGCACACCCAGACTGTCCTGTGAGAGACTAAAGCTGGCTGTCCCAGAGATTTACAGATGCATGTAACTTTGCCTTGGTCTCTGCTGTGTGGCTTGATGAGCAATGTTTTCCTCTTCAGTTAGAACCTTCGTGACCGAGTTTAAGTTAAAGAAGACTTTTCTCAATACTACTGTGGAAAACCATTCCGACACTGATGAGCTTGAGAACGAGATCGCTCAAACAGTAAGTTTCCGGACAATGCTGTGCACACTAATCCCTTGTTTTCTAGACCAGATCTCATTCAGAATTCTACTTAGGGTCATCTATGTCTCCCAGACTTGCTTCTCTATTCACAGGGAAAGTTCAAGGTGAGGTTAAAAAAAAATGTCTTGGAAGAAAGGTGTAAGGATCCGAAGAGTGCTGCTTCAGGCACATCATCACGCCCAGTCCCCGTCTGCCAGGCTGTTTTGTTTTCTTGCGCAAACACAAGAGCATGACGATGCCTGCACCCGTGTGAGCTGTGGGTGAAGAGGGAAGACCAGAAAAGCGTAGTGTCCCATCTGCTGTTGATACCTGATGTGACCTCCTGAGTTCTCAGAGCTTGGAGAAAGGCCACTCTCTCCTCAAAGGATGCCAGCAGCCTGATCCCAATTCCAATTAGCTGGGCTCCTGAGCTCACCATGTAAATTATCTAGAGGCCTTGGATGCTGCTCTTTCCCTCTTTGCTTTTATAGTAGGAAGGAAGGGAGGGGGAAGAAATGGAAACAAAACGCCGACAATACATTTTCTTCTCAGCTGCTGCCCAAGTCAAAGATTTGGTGTTTGGGTACTGAAATTTGCCATTGCACTAAATTAGAGATGAAATTAAATTAGATTTGTCACTACATTGAATTAGAGTTCGTATATTAGCCAGGAATTAAGTGTTCTTATAGGACTGTGAATTTTATTTGTATTTTAATTCCATTTCCATGTCTACTGAGCATTTAATCTGTGCCAAGGACTATGCCAGATGCTTAGTCCTGTAAGAGGGTTGCAGATGGCATGCTGGGAGGCTGTGGAAGCTGACTGTCTTGTCTGAGTCCACACAAAGCAGAAGCAGCGCTAAATCAGTCTACTAGGTCCCCTACGTTACAGCAACTGCAAGTCTGGAGGTTGCTAAGAGCACTCTACATTTCGATAATTTACTAGGAGGACCTACAGAACTTATTGGAGGCCATTTTCATGTCCACTGCACTGACAAGCTTTAAGTTAAAATTAGCGAAGAAAGAGATGCATGAGCCAGAGTCTGGGGGTCCCAAATGCAGAGCTTCTAGTTGCTGTGTCCTTGTGGTATTACTGACATTGGGGGTACCTCTTGGCAACAGTGTATAACTATATGGAGTCCTGCCAACCATAATGCTTACCTGAGCCTTGAGGTCTGAAACATTTATTTGGATGTTGCCATAGAGACATGACAGAGAAAGCATTAGTGTGGGCTTTCTTATGAGGGCATTCTGTTCATACCTAGATAAAAGGTTAATAAGGCAATAATAATAAATTATTGCTATAAAATACACACACACACACATATGTAGAGAGAAAGAGAGTAATGTGACATTCAAACGCACAAACCACTTGGTAACATTCCACACTTGACTCCATCTTCCCAAGTCAGAGGGCTCTGAAGGCAGGTGGATTTACCTGAGATGAGACACTGAGACCCTCTGCTCCATAAAAGGAGCTCTCCAGCTTCGCTGTTAAGGAGGCAGACACACTGTATGGTGCTCAGAGGCTTTCTGCTCTCTGTGGGCAAACATGAAGCACATAGCTCTAATTTGTTCCCAACAAAAGAGCTCTCGACCCCTGATGTCATGTAATTTCCCACAGAGTCTTTTTGAGGAAGACCTTAGAGTCAGGTCAACTCCTTGTAGATTATGAGGAGCCTGTAGAGCCCATCAGACCTGGGGAGCTGAGAGGAACTAAACTTTTTCAGCTAGCTTGTTCCCTATGCAGAGTCCAAATAAACAGCTGCCGGGTTTTTGTTTTTGAAACCCTGGGTCTTAGAAGGGATCTTCTCCTTTGAAGATGTTTTGTTTTCGAGGATGCTGGGCTGAACATTTCCTGCTGAGATTTCCTTACTAATCCACTATCTGCCCTGGGGAACAACAGAAAGATATTTAGGAGGGGTGGTGGGAGGTGGGGAGTACTACAAAGGGCACACTGCTTTGGGTAAAGCTGCCTGCTGATAACTTGGTGGCTACAGAAACCACCTATTTTATCCTGAAAATAGGAAATTGTCTCTTGGCTCAAAGATTTTGTGTGACAACCTGGTTCTTCATTTCAGTTAAACGTGTGTTTTTCAACATTGCCTGGTTATATCCGAACTACAGTCCGTGTATCTAGGTGAGAGAATTTCTTTTGCTTATGAACTGATCTGTGGAATGGAGGCTGGGAGGTGGGGGGGTGCTGTTCACAAATGGGTGATCAGAATAAAGCCAGTCTCTGTTTTACAGCCAATATACTGGGTAACCCAAGGCCACAGTCCCTGGGCCTTTCTACTCCCCTATTCTTTCTATGGAGAATGGCAGTAACATTTACTTTGCAAGCTGCCTGGGACACAATGTCATTTCAAGTCAGTTAAGGCCTTGCTAACTTTGCCCACAGAGAGCCCAGTACAGTGGTCATCTCACTGCAAACCACCTTCATCCTGGCCTCCAATGTGATGCTGTTTGACCTGGCTGACAGAATCCAGAAATATGTCAACTCCTGCAGGTCCTCTGCTGAAGTCTGCCACCTCTTGGGGTCTCAGAGGCGGGTCTTTCGAGGTAAGGAGGGAGTCCTCTAAGGTGGAAACCTGCTCTGGCAGGCAGGCATAGACTTAGAGATGAAAGGTATTCAGGGCTCAGGCCCAGGAACGCTCCTTCACAGAGCCTGTCTTTAGAACATGTAGCACAACCCTTCACGACACTCAATGCACACATCTGTCAGCAGATAGCCTTTAGAGCATCAGCTCCTTGGCATCCAGCTCCTTCTGTTTCTTCTATACAGTGCCATGGTGAGAGGAAGATATTACAGGAGCTGAGGGAACCAAAAGCTGTTCCTCCCATTTCCTGAGAAGACAGAAAGTGACATATAGTATTTATAACGTTGCCAATGATCCAACAACCTTTATATGGTGATGACTAAGAAAAAACAAAGAGCCATGTGCATGTAGTATTACCTAACGTTTGTTTGTTTTCTAACATAAGAACATAGAATGACTGAGAGGGCACAGGCAGGATGCTCCCAAGAGTGCCAGAACGATGGGGCCCTCCCCACCTTGGTTCTTGTTTGGTCAGAGGCTCTGCCCTACATTAGGGTAAGGCCAATGAGGAAGGTGATTCAGAACAAGTCTGGAAGACTTGCATCTTTCAGGGATAGTTTTATAGCTGGGAGAGGAAAACTTGCTGGAATGAGAAGCGCCCTAGGCACAGTGGGCTAGTCCCTCTTGGTGATCAAAGTGTACTCTGGTTAGCTCATTGTACCACTGGATGAGGGCCGGCAAAGGAGGAGAGCTTAGGCTAAGCCTCCCCATCTGGCATCCAGATGTTAGACATAAATTGAAGGTATCAGGTTTTGGTGCCATATCCGCTGGTTAGTCTAGGCCATTCCCAGTGGGTCATGATGTTGTAACCGCTGGTCCAGAGCTTTCCTTGCATGAACACGTGCACTGCAGAGCTGGGAGCTGGTACTTACCCTTTCACCGTGAGACAGGCTCTGGGGGGCTGGCTACTTAGTAACTGGGGGAAGTGAACTGAACATAACAGAATCGAAGTGTCTCCTTTCAAAGTTCATGCCCTGTTCTAGGGTGCTGGAAACTTCGAGACTCTCTGGTTATATGTTTTTTTTTCTCTTGCCAAGGGCTCTAGGGTACTATTTTTCCTCCCAGTAAGGCAGATGCCCTTCAGTTTGCTAACCGTTTCTAGACTACACTTGGTGTGCTCAGCATTGGACCAGGGTACTTTTCTGTTGCCAGCTTGTGCGTGCATCTGTGCTTCGCAGATCAAGTTGGCAAGATTGTGTGGATTTGCAAGAACCGGCCCTAGCAGGAGTGCCTGCTCACCCAGCTGCCTTGTTTGGACTGCCCCCATGTGGCTTATAGGCAACTATTGTCCCCATGAGGAGGCCATCCTCACTGCTCCATTCCAGTCCCTTCAGCATAAAGACAGCCATGCACAGTAGCCAAAATTGGATTCACATCTTTTTTTTTCCTCCAGACCTTCTCTGGGTTTTGCCAAGGGATCTGGCTCTGTCTCTTGGTAATTTTTCCGAAGCTAAAGAGGAGGCTAGACCAGCAGGTGCTACACACTTCTGGGTTTCCAGCATCTGGGCAGCACTAGGCTGCTCTGGACATTGCCAGTGGCAAGGAGGGCTTTCTCCCCTCAGTTCAGAGAATGTCCACCTCCTTCCTTTCAAAGTCTTCATGGTCTCCTGGGATTTAGAGACTTTGGAAATCCCCCTTCATTGCCTCACCCTTGGCTCATTGAGTGCTCATTGTCTATTTTGATGGATGTTATGCCCAGGAAAGACCATGGGAATTGTGAATGCAGAAGGCTCATATCACCAAGGATCGATTTAAGTGAGATTCTGCATGGTCCTGTTGGGTGGCTTTGTGAGACACATTCTTTGAAAAGGCTGAGGAAAACCACTCCTCATTGGAAGGGCAGGGCCTGCCCTCCCTGTTCAAACAGAAATCTGGCGGTGGGCAGGCAGCGGTTGCTTTGTCATGGCAACGAATATTTATTAGCAGCCTAGATCAGTGGACAGGATGGAAGGAAAACGTAACATTGACTTCCAGAAAATACCAATCAGAGTTGGCATTTCCCACTGTAGGATGCCCTGGATAGTCTTTATGCTTGGAGGTGTTCTCTTCTAAGTCTAGTTGACTGGCAAACTGGCAAAGCCTTCAAAGAAGTCAGATGTGAGGTCCTGGAGGCTGAGTTCCTCCCTGGTGCCAGCTTTGCAGAGTTTGCCTGGTGAGATTTTTCCATTTAAACATTTCCCCTTAAATACAAACTTTTTTTTTTTTTTTTACAATAAACAAAGGAGCCCAGATTTAACACGTCAGCTTCCACTGATAAAGGCAGGAAATTCATCACTGAGAACTAAAGCTGTGCCCTAACTCAACCCTCTGGGAGCAGACAGCCTCGGTTCTCAGGATTCTCAAAAGGGATGGATGCTGGGAATTCCACAAGGGGACCCATCAAGCCTTGGTGTCATCTCCCATCACCAGAACTTGCCCAGGCAAGGGTTAATTTTGCAGTATTAACAGGAGCCTTCTGAAGAGCTTGGGGCCTTTTCTTTGATGATACCTACAAAATTGGTGCCCACTCTCCACTGTACAATGTTCATTCTCTTCCTATCTTCTCCTGAGTTCAACTTGCTATTGACCCCACAGGAGAAGCACACATCTGTCTTACTTTACCTTGAACATGTGTAGATAAGTTTTAACCGACTGTCAAGTCGGTTTTGTGGTTCTGTTTTCTCTGTGTACCCACTGACATGTGCAGCTTTGCCTGTCTTGGGTGGTAAAACGTACCCTTCATTATCTTTGCCATATAAAACCTCATAGAGGGCTATGTGCTCAGCAGTGAATACTTTTTGATACTAATAAACTGATTCTTTATCAACCACAAGGTGAATAAAGCCCCCAAATGAACATGAAACCAGCCTTAAAGCTGGGCTCCTTCTTTGTCTGCCTCTGTTTCTCCTGGTGATGGTGTGGCTACTGATCGGGCCAGTAGGGCCCCCACCCCCACCCCAGCATATGCTCATCTGCTGATCTCTGTGCTGAATAAACCTTCCTACCACTGTAGTGAGAAGACAGAAAGACAGACAGTTTCCTGCCAACCCTTGGGAATCAGATTACCATTTAAACCTTGTTCTGTAATAAACCCCCAAAAGCCAACACACTGAGGGCAAAGCAAGCTGCCTTACCACAAGAGTGGTCCTAGGCCCCTAGGACACACAAAGCCCGAACATGTTTCCACTTGAGACTGGTCTGACTACACTGGTTGGTTTGGGTCCAAGTTCTCAACTCCATAAGAACGTGATCACATTTTCTAGTTTTGTTCCAGCTCCCCCACCTCCCTTACACCCAGTCCTTTAACGTGAAGATACAGAATACAACACACTGAGGCTGCATTTGTAGGTTGGGCAGCGCCCTTTCCTTCCTCAGTTTGGTTTCTCCATAGGGAATGCTTGTGAATATTTATTTATTGGCGGTGACCAGGGAACAGAGGCAGAGACTGTGCAGGGCCTCGGAGAGGGCTGTGGCTCCAAGAAGACTCTGGGAAACTCTCTCCTGAGCCTATTGAAATAGTGAGTTCATGCGTCATAAGGTGTGAAGAAGAGGTTTGCTTTGGTCTCACTCCATGTTTTTCACATCCCAGCGGGCAGCTTGTGTAAGCGGAAGAGTCCAGAATGTGACAAAGAGACCTCCATCTGCACCGACCTGGATGGCGTCGCGCTGTGTCAGTGCAAGTCTGGCTACTTTCAGTTCAACAAGATGGATCACTCTTGCCGAGGTAGCTACGGGTCCTCAGCAGTTGAGTGGTGCATGCTGTGTAGGCAGTCTCTGCTCTGGGCATGCGTGGTGCAGGAGGTGCTGGTGTCTCTGCTCTGGGCAGGCACAGTGCATGCCGCGCTGGTGATTTTTGCTCAGGGTGTGATGCTTCTAAACTGGGTGTAACTGGCTCTTGCTATTTGGCCTGCAACAGGAATGAATACAGTGTTTCCTTGCAAGTATCTCCTGGTGTGTGCTAGTCTAGCCAATTCCATTTTAAAGGAAAGAAAATAAAAGCTATCACAAGGTCCCCTTCCCCTCCCATTCAGTTAGAGGAAGTTAGAAAAATTAATTCTCTCCCCAAAGCTTTGGCTGTTGCCTACTTATCACTAAAGTAAAAATACAGGTACTGCGCTGGGCCTGGGTCTTTCAGGGGCCACTGTGGCTCAGAAGTGAGTGTTCTCACCAAAGCCCAGGACACCTGGCTCAGAGCCACATTCTGCCTCACCAATCAGGTGTCCTCTTGAGGAAGTACTTCATTTCTCTAAACCTCAGTTTCCTCTTCTTTGAAATGAATGTGGTGACACTTCATTAGATGTCCTGAGAAGTACAGAAAGCTGTGATTCAAGCTGGGCTTTGTAACCCACAGGACTTGCTTTTGTGTTTATCTAGGTTGTTGATAATTTGATGGGTTAACATTTTAAAGATTGCTTGGTGTGTTGGAGAGTAGAAATCTAATTCTGCCAGCCTTTGAGAAGAAGCCAAAATTCACTCCATTTGAGATAGAGACCACACCATACTCAATGAGTGTGGTCCAAAAGTTTGTCCTAAAATCAGTTTTATTCAGATCCAGAATGCTGTGTCCCCTGGCTTCAAAGACTGCTACAATCTGTGACTGTCAGGAAGGGTGGCATTATAGCTCCTTTTTCACACAGCATGGTCTCCAGTTGTAATGTGAAAGGCACAGATTTCCTGGTCAGTCAACACCTTGCTGGTGACAGATGTATTGAGATCCAGGTGAAAAATCCACACAAGAGCAAGGTGACATGACACTTCAGTCAGGACTTCCCCTCCGAGGACTCATTTCATCAAAAGAATATAAAAATATATCTGGAGGCAGCACTTTCATCCTGAACCTTGGACCTGCTGACAGTGTTATGTTTAAATAGAATTTTCTTTAGAGGTGGGCATTGTCAGCTCTTCACATAGGACCTGCAATAGGTTTGGAAGAGCATCTGCTTTTAGAATTGGGCTTCTGGCCTGGCATGACTGGTCCCCAACGTCCCATTGCCATGCCAGACCGTCACTTTGCCTCAAAAGAAATAAATGTCCCTAGCTCCTTCTTACCTGCTTTCGTGCCCTTCCTTAAAATGAGGGCTGGAGCTCAGCCACATGTGGGAGAATGACAGCACTAAAGTCTGTGAGTGCTGTGCTGTGTGCCATGGTGCCTGTCACACAGGTGAGCAGGACTGTGGGCGGGCAGAGGAGCTGGCCACATAAATAGTCCTTCAAGGATGGCTTTGCCTGCACCGTTGCTCCTGACTGGTTTGGGCCACTTCTTTCTACTTCCAAGTCAGTGATGTTCTAGACATGTCTTACAGGCAAGAGTTAATGATAGACTAGCCAGAGGCTAGTTACCTTGGCTAAGCCTCTATAACAGTGGCTCTCAGCTTTCCTGATGGTGTGACCATTTAATACAGTTCCTCATGCTGTGGTGACCCCTCAATCATAACATTATTTTTGTTACTTCATAACTGTAATTTTGCTACTGTTACGAATTGTAATGTAAACGTCTGTTTTCCAATGGTCTCAGGTGACCCCTGTGAAAGGGCTATTTTGAACACTGCTCCATAAGAAGATTTTATATGTGACTTTGAAAGTATGCAAAAACAGTATAGAACTGGCTTGTAGGAGATAGTAAGAGGCATCTGTATGTCTGTGTGAGTACCATATAAAACTTGGCAGTCTATAACTTGAATTGCAGAAATCTAGAAGAAAAAAAATATATTTCACTCCTCTGTTTACACAGAGATTTGGCCCAATTTGAGATGACTTGAGGTGAGAAATGGTCTCCCCTTCTAACTTTTCTAACCCAAGCTTGCCTATAATTCAGTGTGTAGTCCAGCTAGCAAGCTCGTGATCCTCCTGTCTCAGCTTCCCAAAAGATTGCAGGCATGTGTCACCAAACTCCAGGTTATCATTTTCAGGGTGTGTGCTTTAAGTGACACAGGTATCCCCAACCTTATGTTTACCAGGTAATGACCAAGCAGCAGCACAGGGAGACCCTGATTAGCCTTAGGGCTTGTCGCTGAGGCCCCATGAGGTGCTTTCTCAGTGGTAGTCATGGCCAGCAGTCCTCTGATGATTGAATTTGGGAGGTTTGAGGACTCTAGCCCTGTCCAATGGGTTAGCAGTGACATCTTCTGGCCATTTATACTGGAGCGCAGACACATTGAGAATTAAAATATATGTCCTTCCTGTATTTCTTAGCTTCCTTATACCACACAAGCATCAATTCTAGCAACCTTGTTGAACCCTCTGACCAGGTTGAGATTAGCATTTTTAAAGGTTTTTGGTTGTTTGTTTTTGTGGGGATGGGGGTGAGTGTTGTTTTGTTTTTTAAAATAGGATCTCACTACCGTAGTCTTGCTTGGTCTTGAACAGAGATCAGCCTGCCTCTGCCTTCTTAGTGCTGGAATTAAAGGCATGGCAAATTTTTATTTTAATTTTATGTGTTTGTGGGTCTTCAGTGTTATGTGTGTACAAGTACCCTAGGTGTCCAGAAGAGGGCACCATATCCCTCCATAGTGGGAGTTACAGGTGATCAGGAGCAGAACTCCTCTTTCCTGACGTAGCAGTGAGTGCTCTCAATCACTGAACCATCTCACCAGCCCGGATTCTAGCAGTCTTTGTCTTTTCAGATGGCAAGTGCCTTAAGACCCAACACTGTATGTAGAAAGGGCTCAAGTGTCTAATGAAGAGGCCATAGGACAACAGATACGGATTGAGACCTTCAGTATCCTGCAAAGGAGTTACTGAGTGTTACTTAGTATCCTCCTGCAAAGGAGTTACTAGAACTCCACTGTGGATAAGCTTTGTTTTATTTTTTCCCTTGGCGGTAGGTGAAGCTCAGTACCAAGTCAGTCATATATGCAAATTCTTGCCACAGTGGTTCTGTCTCTAGCGCCCGGGTCAGAGTCCCTCAGTGATGAGGAACTAGAAGTGCCTTTACCAGCAAGGTTTTCCCCGAGAGTCCCAAGAGCACCAGGCACTCAATCTTTGATAAGTGATGGATACGCCCTTAAAAGAAAATAGTTTGGGGGGGGGGGAAGCACTCAAGCCAAGCAGTGGTGGCATATGCCTTTAATCCCAATACTCAGAAAGCAAAGGCAGTTGGATCTCTGTGAGTTCGAAACTAATCTGGTCTACAAGAGAGTTCTAGGACAGCCAGGGCTACACAGAGAAATCCTGTCTTAAAAAGCAAAAAACAAACAAACAAACAAAACCAAAAAACTTTATATATATATATATTTATTTGTTCGGTTGTTTTTGTGACCAGAGGATAACCCAATAGAGTTGCTTCTCTTTCTACCACGTAGGTCCTGAGGATTGAACTTAGGTTATCAGGCTTGGAGACAAATGCCTCTACACACTGAGCCACCTCACCAGCTTGTGTTCTTTTGATTAGAAAAATGTCATTACATCAGGGGGTCAAGATTCTTTTGATGTTAAATAAAAATAGCCTAAGCCACTAGCTGAGGTACATAGGCAGAACAACAGATGGACCTTGTGCATGGCTGGGTAACAGCCAGGCGTGGAGAGCTTCCCACTCAGCACGCGAGGTTGGGTGGGTAGACGGATGTAAAAATGTTTTCAGGAATGTGTTCAGAATAGAATGGATTAGTGATATCAGCCTGCCTCAGCACCAAAGGTGGAGAGGTGGGCAGTCTTCGTGGAGTGATCCTGTAGTCTGAGCCAGAAGTCATTCCTCAGCGGCTTTCCTCATTCCACAGCCCCACTGGGGATTGTGAGCGAAGGTATGAAGCTTTCTACTCAAGCCTGGAAAAAGCCGGAGCACTCTGCTTGCTCCATAGAGGAGGCCTTGCCTTCCCCAAGGCAGAGAACTCAGGGTGTCAAAGATTAGGCGATTCAGCCTCACCTTTTATCAAAATAGGATATGATTACACTCTATCTTGTTAAAGGATTTGAAACACCTATTGAAAATTCATATCATGAGCTGGAGAATAGTGGCACACACCTTTATCCCAGCACTCAGGAGGCAGAGGCAGGCAGATCTCTGTGAGTTTGAGGACAGCCTGGTTTGCAGAGTGACTTCCAGGACAGCCAGGGCTACACAGAAAAACTTTTATCTAAAAACATTTTAAAAAATAAAATAAAAAACAAACAAACAAAAACAGAGGGAGAGAGAGAAGAAAAGGAAAGAAGGAGAGAGAGAAGAAAAGGAAGGAAGGAAGGAAGGAAGGAAGGAAGGAAGGAAGGAAGGAAGGAAGG